TTCTTTCTTTCGTTTTTTCATTTATTATTTTCTTGCTTGTTTGTTTTCTTTCTTTCTTTCAGTTTCTCTCTTCCTTTTCCTTCCCTCTTTCTATTCCCTCTTTCCTTCTGTTACATTCCAGCATCCTTCATATTTTCCTTTCTTCATTCATGATGTGATTAGCTCGTTATTTAATATCATAAAATTCAAAAAATATTATTGGAAAATATTCATCAATTTATCGACATGAAAACGAATTGTGAAAGCATGGTATAGGATTTCTTAGCACTTTATGTTATCTATCACCCTAAAATCCAAGCTATTTGAAATATTTGCGTAATTCTGCTGCTTGTCGGTTAAAATTGAATAATTTTATATCTAGTAATATTTAATTCCAAAAAATTTTCATCTTACTTTTTTTCAATATGTTTTCGTTTTACTTCAAAATTTCTTATTCCCTAGCCAACATTCTCGTGATATTTTCAAAATTAAGTTAATTGCTACCACACATATTTGACCTTTCTTGAAAGAGAATTTCGTCTGACTTAAAAGACGTCTTCTAGAGTTTCGTAAGTTTTTTCTCTAAGAGGTCACACTGCTCATCAGTGTCTCGTCAGTAAACGGAGACCAAACGACTTCGCAACAGACCTCTGAATATAAATTCAACGGAAGCTGTCGTAAAAAGTGTTCTAAAAATCCATCCTCTGATTATGAATAGTACTGTTCTTGTGATAATATGAAGAACCTTCCACACAAAGAGTGTCCCCAAAAAAGACGTTCTTAAGAGTGAGTTTCAAGCGTTTTAGAAAGAAGTGAAAGATTCCAAGCCCAGACGCTTTAAATCAAACTCACTAAGGTTGAAAAGAATTGAAAACAACTCAAGAATTGAACGTCATCCAGCTTATCCTTTGCCGTGGTTTAAAAAAACTTTGCTAATTAAAACTCTACCCAGACTGTCTTCGCGAAAATCAAGTAATTCAAGACTGAGTGGATGATTTGCTTGGCTGTTCACTTACAAAACCTGGAAAAATACACTTAATCGATGCTCCTGGACTCTACAATAAAACCGATAAAATCAAGGAAAATTGCCGGAAACTCCATTAAGATTACGGATGTAATATTTACTTACTGAATGGATAGTTTGGACACGCGAAAGCTGAGTATTTGTACAAGAACAAAAAGGAAATAGAGACAGACTTTTTACTACTGCAAGAGGCTGTCACTGCCATTGTAACTCATTTACCCGTACTTGATCAATTCGTATTCCACTGCGACTTATTTTCATTCATTCTATTCGCTTATTAATTTTCTTTTTAAAAAAATATTAAGCGCAATTTTCGATACCTCCTAATTATAATTATAAACTAGACTAATCATAACATCGATAATTATTAGATTATTATTACACTAATTTAATTATAGACTTTAATTTGAATATCGATATCCTGATTCTAGTGCAATTAATATAAGTGCTTAAATTTACGAGGGTGAGCTAACAAACCTGTGGTTTTCATTCGAATCATACTTATAATTGATAACATTGATAATACAACTAATATAATTATCGATTTCCATTTGAATATAATCAAATTCCTAATTATAGGAATTAGTCATCGTTATAAAAAATTAATACTTATAATTGTCAAATAATTTCATTCTTTCATATGCTAATAATTCAATGATGCGAAAATCAAACTCAAAGGGTCAGAGAAATGATCTTTGTAAAGTGAAGTTATTGCAGATTCCTGAGCCAATCAGACTCTTTCAACCTACAAAAACCCGGACAAAGCTAACGGAAGAAGTGAATAACAAAGAAAATGAAAGTTTCACCCATAATGAAACGCAAGACAATACATTTCCCGTATTACCAAATATGGTTAAGACCCCAAAATGCATTGCGCGACCTGAGACACTTAACATAACCGCGAAACGGAAGGAAATGATGCCTACAATTGATTCACAAGCAAGAATCTTACCAGCTATGAATGACTTTTGCGTGTCCATGGCCAATCCCAGCAGGCTGTGCAGTCGTGGTTCGATTTGTTCTCCAGAGAAGAAGATGAGACCCAAGAGTTTCCAGAACTTCTGGACCAAATATCCTGATTCTCTTGAAGCACAGCCTTTGGTCTTCAGTACAGATGTGGATGCTTTGTCTATAGAGATTGTTAGAATGTATAATCAGCCTATGATATCATTGCCCAAACTGAACATGGGACCTGCTGGTGTTTAGGGAGCATTCAGGGAGGGGGACGAAGGAATTTAGGGGAGAGGGGGGGGGGGCTCAAATATTTACAAGTAAAAAATGGGTGTCACTGATCAGAAAAAAGTTTTTTCTGGTAATAACCCTGAAGTTTTGCAATTTTTTTCAGTTACTTATTAGGGGCCATTTCAAAGTCCCAAAACTTAGCTGGATGGGCTAACAAATTGGGGACATATACTAACACCTATTTCTCCGCCCCCTCCCTTTCTAAAAACTGAATGCACCCTTAGGGTCCACAAGGGACCAGCTTATTTAGACCAAAATACATGTATACATGCACATAATTAGGAGACCAAATAAAGTTTGGGGCCTATGTACAGGTATATTAACTTGATAAAGGACTATCTTTTACAAGGAGACCAGTTGATGTAGGGCCCAAGTATGCTTGGTTTTAATGCTCACATTTCAAGGTTCATATTCATTTCAGGCTACTGTTACTGCTACTGCTACTCAGGCTACTGCTACATACTGCTACTAGTATCTAATGCTACCGCTAATAATTACTACAGCTGCGTATATTGCTACAGCTTCATGCAATAGTCAAGCTACTGCTACTGCAACTGCTACTGCTACTGCATGCTAATCAGGCTACTGCTACTGCTATTGCTACTGCTACTGCTACTGCTACTGCTACTGCTACTGCTACTGCTACTGCTACTGCTACTGCAACTGCTACTGCTACTGCTACTGCTACCGTTAATAGCTGCTACAGCTACGTATATTGCTTCTGCATGCTTGTCAGGCTACTACTACTGCTGCTAATGCAGAAGACAATAATGCTACCCTTAGTAGCAACAGCGGTATTTTTATTAGTATTAGAGAGTTTTAGATTTACGTTCACGGCAAACGTGAAACGTCAGTTGACCAGTAAAAAATTCTTTTAAATTACTGAAAAAGAATCGCAAAAAAGTCCAAGTAGCAGAAAAACAAAAGAGTATTTGCGCTTAGTGAGAAGGTTTGTAAAAGGTAAAGTAAAATACAAGAAAACTATGAAAACGTGGTCACGTTTGCCGTTTGCGTGGAGAAAAAAAAGTCAATCTAAAACTCTCTATTATTGACTTCTACAAAGATTGATAAACAAATATCTTATTAATATTTTTTTAATTCTAATAATTGCTTCAATTTAACAAGAAAATGTACTCCTATAATAAATAGTTATTCTAATTGAATGAAAAAGTATTAAATCACTGCATTTTATCATTATTTTGTTCAGCTGATGATCTAAATTCATTCATTGTTGTACGCATGAAATTGAAATCACTTTCGATCTGAGAAATACGACTTAAAATGTCATCAATTTCTTCCTTTACGGCGCCAATAACAGCGTCATCAGGTGTTATTTCAACCTCTCCAATTTTCTTACACTCTTTAGCATTTATTTCTCTATCTAAAGGTTTTTCTGGCAATATAGTTTCTTCGTGAAGTATTTTGACATCCAAGTCTTGAGGTGCTTTTAAAGTATTGTTTTTGAGATCATCATTAAAAATGGCACGAGAGTTAAGAGATGAGGTATCATGATTATGATTAATATCAACATCATTATCATCACCATCATAATAATCATCATCGTTATCATAACTTGATTCCAATGCATGCACAAATACAGTAGCTTCTCTTTCACCAGTAGAATCTTCATTCTCATGACTAAGTTTACATCCAGCTTGATTGTTATCGTCGCCATCGACACGTAGAAATATCTTTTCACTGCCAGTTTTATTACAAATGCTGACATTGCTCATATCCTTAGTGTTAACAAAGATATGTTTATAATTTTCACTCCTAGTCGAGTCAAACTTTGGAGTATTTTCCCTTGCGAGATTAAGACCTTTCACTTTATCCATATCACCAATGTTTTTAATGTCTGTTGTTGATGGAAAATTTGTTAGACCAATCAAGGTATGTTTTATATTGATTCTGCTACTGCCGCTATCAGATACGTTATAACAATCATTTTTAGGATGATCCTCGCTTCTGTCAGTTCTAAATTCATCATAATCATCTGTGCCAGAGGATTCTAATTGTTTATGGGAGTAAACACCATCATCATCATCATCACAATCGTCTGTGCCAAAAGATTCTAATTGTTTATGGGAAATATCACCATCATCATCATCATCATCATCATCAAGTTCGTCGAAACTTTCGTCATCTACGTAAATGCTGCAGCTTTTCTCAGTTACACTATCGCCTAAGTTGTCATCGCCATCATCATTTGCTTCATCATCATCAACTGAGTCAGTACCAGTGTCATTCGACGAATAGCTTTTATTAATATTATCCTGATTATTCTGTGTTACATTGATATTGTCATCATCATCGATATCTTCGTCACTAGTGCTGTCATGATCATTGCTGATTGGATGTTGATGTTCATCATCATCATCGGAAGGTTCCTGCTCTGGTTCATCGAGATCATCTTCATCATCACCACTAAAGCTATCACAATCATCTTCATGATAAATATTTTTGTCATCATTTTCATCATAAATTTTATCAAAAGAATTACTTTCAATCCACATTTGCAGTATCTTTTCCTCGTCCACTTCTTGATTGCTAGAGCTATCGTCAAAACAGTCCTCAGAATTCCTTAGCCAAGCCATACCCTCAGAGATAACATTCTCGGCATTTTCTGCCAACATCCAGAGATTAATCTCACTCTCATCTTCTTCAGTGATAGAACCAACTCGAGGACTAAACCCCATCACTGTTTTACGTACACCGAACTTCTGTCTCAAGTACTTAGACCTTTGTACAGCACGTCTGCTAAAGCGAATGCCTCTCGGTTTCTTCTGAGGGGTCAATGTAGACAATACGCCATGCATTGTGTTTATATCAGGCCCTTTGGGTGAATTACAGTCCAATTCCTTCTGATCTCCGTGAATCTCAAGTCGATGCTTAGCTCCACGTATTGAAAATAAAGAACCTACTTTATCAAGTATACGTTTCTTAATCCCCCTCTTGGGCATAATGCGAAGTATTTAACGGCAAAACGGTATATCCCTGGATAATCCAATAAATAACTGTCAAGTAGCGATTTGTTTTGACTTCCAAATGTTTTTCTCGCCAACCGGAATCTTTAAATCCTCTTGATATAAATATGTTCAATGGCCTTCTTGACCTGATTTAATCAAGCAGTTAGATGGACCATGCTTTAATGAGACCATTCTATCCCTGAAGAAAACCGGAATGCCAACAGTGTTTGTACTTATCCTGCTGCTCGCTTCCAAAGGTCTTAAAGGATTCTAAGGCTTTGATTAATTATTCAGTAAAATGCCACGCAAAATATCCCAAGGAATTCAACAGCACAACCGCTTGAGGTATTCTCGTTCTCCAATTTATCACTCAAATCTGGAAAATAAGTCAAGGAAAAAGGTTCAATAAACCAACATTGACTCCTCTAGCTGAAGTATCTCGCGTTGTGCCCTAGTGGAATTCCAATATTTTTCATCTCCAGTATATAGGAAGGAAACTAAAGGAAAGGTCAGTGTTCAATATAAGTATAAATACCGACCAAGTTTGTTGACAACTACTATCCAACAGACCCCAGAAAATTGTTGTGCATTAATAACTCACTATTTCAGGAACGTTCACCTTTGCCTGGCATAACACAGTCTCGTGTTGATAGCCTGATAGCTCCTATAGCCACATTCAGTTGTATTATACAACCTTTATACTTAGGTATATATTTTAGGTATATATTAGTCGATCTCGTACAATCATTTGGTAAGTCAATCACTATCATTTAAGGCACCAGTTATTGTCCGAGAATGTTACTTTAAGGAACCCAGTCGAATAACGCAGAACGAATGTCACTCTTTTCGAATAGAAAATGATTTCACGTACCTTGTATGGTCAGGATCACTTTACATTCGCAGAAATATTCAAGAATATTTCCAACCAGTTGTATCTTTGTCAGCTCTCGGGTGAACGAGTTTCTTATCGTTCAAAAACTATAGTACAAATTCTCGTCTAGATTAAAATCTGAAGACACCCACGACCTCGAAGAACATCTTTCGCATGGAAAATACTCGTTGCTTTTTATCTTAGCGTAGGTTTACTTTTTAAAGCTCTTTCAGTTCCCAGGTTTTACCACAACAATGTTGATTTTACACCTAGTGACCTCTTCAAAATCTGTGAAGGTCACATTTGAAAGCAATAGCTAACCATTGTGTCATAAAAGAACCAAACAGTAGAAATCTTTGCATACTTTGAAGTGTTGGTTATAAAATACAGCTGGTATTGGAACCACAATCATTAGAGGCTCCTCCTGTTCAACCACTAACACAACAGGAGCTGTTAGCTTTGGACAAATAACAAAACATTGGTAATAATTCTTTTAAAGTTTTCACGGAAGGATGAATCTTCTTTCCCTCCTACTCGTCGTCTTTAGTTCAGTGTTATTACAACTGTTATTATTATTAGATGAATGCAAACAAAGGATTTAACAAGTCGTTACTCAAGCCATCCACGAGGTGAAAATTTTCTTGAAAAAAACAGCCATTATAAAGAAATATTCTGCGTTGAAAAATGGGTTATATTGTCTTTTTCCACGAGTGTGGTTTTGTATGGAATAAAATAAGCTCGCTAATAACCATGCTAATAGGCTTGTGGTATTTTTGTACTTCAACATCGTAATTTTAATATTTAGTATAGGCACGATCATTTTTTTCCCGCCAAATCGCTACGTTTTTGCATCGCGTGAAGAAGTCAGGGAAAAAAGTTTAGAATAGAAAGCAAAAAATACGAGGCACTTTGAACAGAGATGACATCAAAGAGTGAGTCTGAATTTACTAAAAGCCTTAACAAATTCAGTAACTGGTAAACGCTACGTCAACTATAATGTCTTATTCTAATAATCCACGACCTAGACAACAGATCCCAAAAGTAAATAAAAATAGAATTACAGACTTTTTACTAAGCTTCCTTCAAACATTTCTTGTCAAGGACCAATGACATACGCTAGATTTAAATACTTTCATCTTAAAATATTTATGGGAATGTTCCCAAAAATTCCCAAAAATTATTTAGTCGTGTTTGGAAAATTAACCGGAAGGAACTATTGTAGTACACGAGTTAAAAGCAAGTGTTCAAAAAAGTATGTTATCTTTGATGTTCACTCGAGTATAAATCACTAATGAACACTAATTGACTTCTTGAAGAGTTTTGGCGGGAGAACAATCATCTTCGTCTAACGACATAACAATAGGAAGCCATTGTAGTGTTGTTGGGAGGTAATCTTTTAACAGGAAGTGAATGAATTTTAGATTTCGTTTTACAATAAGAACGCAAATCACGGGGGGGAAAAAACAATTCAAAAACGCACACACAGACGCTAAGAACGAGAAATCATTTTCGTCTCAGCTCAAAAAACAGACATGAAATTTCTATAAATTAGTAATATTTAAGAGGCAGTCATAAAGCCATGGAGGAGGAGTCGTCAATATAATAATACAAAATGACCATCACACCCAAGGGAAAATAACAGATTTATGTAGGGAGGGGTTGGGTAATTGTCCATGACGAAGTGGTGCGTTTTAGTGCGTTCGTTGCCTCATCAATACTATATGAATAATCATTTATTTGAGAAACGAATCCATATTTCTGAATTTGAATTGAATTGTTTATTTATTCATAATCAAAAAATGCATTTTGAAATTACAATAATTTAAAGCAATTTATAGATTTTTTGATTATGAATTGGAGTCTTAATAAAAGCAAAAAATCTTATATGGTATAGAATTCTCATGTAGGAATTACAATTTTGTATTAAACTTTAAAAAATGAAAAATAAAGTAAATAAAATTACACGATATTTATATATAGTAAGAATAAATTTTCGACTAAACTGTAACATTTGGGATACATACATACATACATACATA